CCCCTTCTTGGGTTACTGGCATTGGAGTGAAAATACCAGCCTTAATTATGCAGTTCATGCTGTGAAATCCATGGTACAGGAACATCCAGCACCTGCTGGGTTTGTTGTAAAGGAGGAAATGGAAGAGTTTCCAGCTAATACCGCCACCAGCCCAGGTGTGCAGGAAGAGCTGAAGACATGAAGCATTTTTGAGGACTGTAGTGACTTAAAGTCAGATGTTTACAAATACAGAAAATATGTAGTTTATCTTTTGAGAAAGAATTATGAGGAAAATAAGATAAAATAAAATAAAATAAAATGTTCTAAAACCTTGGACAAAAGTGTTCATTATTTTATCTAATAGTTACTTTCAAGAGATTATTTTATGTATATAAAATTTTGTCAAGGTATTGTGTTATCTAGGGGTTTGGGTTCCTTAGCCTTTATTATATAAGCAGTGTATACATATTTCATTTCATCTTACAGATTATTTATGTATATTTTCCCCATGTGTGTAGACATACATGTATGCAATAATTTATTCTGTATTATCTATGTTCCTCTTTCTTTGGCTTTAGTTAAACACAGTTACTCTTCTGACTGATAAAAACTAAATAAAGTTTTATATTTAAGAAGATAAAATATATTTTCCTTGAGGCCAGCAGGTGGCGTGGTGGTTGGGGCTCTGGATCAGTTCAAGTCCTGGACCTGGTAGCTTGCTTTCTCACTTTCCCTCTCTCTTTTATCTCTGGTGAATGTACATGCCCTATAGCAAATTAAATAATAATAAATAATTTTAAAAATACATATTTTTTCTTTTAAATCTTACTTTTGAAATTGTTTAGTTTGCAATAGGAATGTGTACTTGCCAGAGAAAAATGGGGTTGTGGGGAGAGTGAGAAAGCACTGCCTAGTGGGGATGGCCAGACTGCATTTCCCTCTTCATCTCTCAGAATTTTGGACGTCCATGTACACTCACCTGGCATGTTTCTCAAGCTGCTGGGTCTAAGACTCAAACCACACTGTCATCATGGGAGATACAGCCTCCTTAACTGCCATGCCACTGGCTGGCCCTAAATTTTATTTGTTTGTTTATTTATTTATTTATTTTTAGAGAAATTTTTCTATGGGGGCTCACGCGCTTGCCAGAGAGACAGAAAGCAAAATCACTCCCAGAGGTATGGCCATGCCACAATCCCTTCTCCTCCATTCTCCTCTTGGGATCTTGAGCACACATGCACACATGCCCTGCTTGAGTTTTAAGTTGCCAGGTCCAGGACTTGAACCATGGTTGACTACATGAGAGTCCAGTGATATAACCGTCACACCATCTGCTGTTACCATTTTTTTTTTTTGGCAAGGTTTTTGCCTTAGGGTACATGCATTCGCCAGAGAGAGAGACAGAGACAGTGAGAAATCACCCCCCCCAGGGGGGATGGACATGTCACCATCCCTTCTCCTTTATTCTCCTCCCAGGATTTTTATACCACCGGGTCTGGGACTCAAACTGGTTGGCCATGTGGGAGTCCAATGATGGAACCACTATGTCACCTGCTGGTTCCCCTAAATTTCATTATTTTAGAAACAGCAGATGAGTTATTAAAGAGTTATTAAATATGTGCCAGATGAAAATTTAGACATTAAAATCCAGAAGTTTAGGGACCAGCAGTTAGCGTAATGGCTATGTCGCTGGACGCCCATGTAGTCGACCGCGGTTCGCGTCCTGGCCCCGGTGGCTTAAAACTCACGCCAGGCGCGTGTGCGTGCGTGCCCAAGATCCCGAGAGGAGAATGGAGGAGAAGGGATTGCGGCGTGGCCATCCCCCCTGGGGGGTGATTTCTGGCTTTCTGTCTCTCTGTCTCTCTCTGTCTGTCTGGCGAGCACACACGCCCTATAGCGAAAACCTCTCCAAAAAAAAAAAAAAATCCACAAGTTTAGATAACATGGAACATACTTCTCTGTACAGTTCCTTAAATATATTTTTTAAGCAGATAGAATCTTTAAGAACTCTCTTCAAAAATTTAGTTATGGAAATTTCCTGTTTTAGTTAACATTTTTATGATTAAAATGGCTGACTTGAAATATATTTTTATGTCTATTGAAGTGGGTGGGTCTCTGACTTTTTTTTTTTTTTCTTTATTTTTCCTATACGGCATGTGCACTCACAAGGGAGAAATCACCCTTCCCCCTAGAGGGTGGCCACACTGTAGTCTTCTCCATTCTTCCCTTGGGCACACATTCACTCATGCTGAGCATGTTCCTCAAGTTTGGAGGAGGGATATGTAGCATGACTCTTACCCTTGGAGGGTGCTCTCACTTTCCCTGTCCCCGTCTCTGTCCAGTGAGTGCACATGCCCTCGGGCAAAATTTAAAAACAAACAAAAAACAGAATGCTTTTCAGAACTTTAAGAGAAGTTTCTATGGATGTACTCCTGCCTCTGTATAAACACAAAGAAATGTAGCAGATGTTAGCAGTTGATGAGTGTAGATGCAGGTATGCCAGTGTTCATCATACTATTCCTTCAACTTTTCTCTGTTTGAAAGTTATCAGAATCAAAACTTAGGGACCAGCAGATGGCATAATGGTTACGTTGCTGGACTCCTATGTAGTTGCCCGCAGTTCGAGTCCTGAACCTGGCAGCTCAAAACTTACATCGGGCATGTGTGAGTGTGTGCCCAGGATCCCAAGAGGAAAATGGAGGAAAAGGGATGTGGCAAGGCCACCCCTCCTGAGGGGTGATATTTTGTTTTCTGTCTCTCTGGTGAGCACATGTCCTACAAAAAATAAAAAATCTCTCAAAAAAAAAAAAAAACTTAGCAAAAAATATTGGTGAAATTGTGATTTCAAATTGGCCTAGAAAAGACATCCTATATCAATGAATGTAAAATTTTGTCTCATCTTGCTTTAAAAAAAGAATTTGTGGGGCTGACCCATGGCATGCTGGCTAAAGGTGCTGAACTCCCACGTGGTCAACAGAAGTTTGAGTCCCAGACCTGGCAGCTTGCTTTGTCACTTTCCCTCTCTCACTTTCTCTCTCTCTCTCTCACTCTGTCCCTCTCTGGTCAAATTAAAATAAATAAATAAAGTTAAATTTTAAAAAGTCAAAAGAAAAAGGATTTGTGGGACTAGCAGTGGCATATTGGTTAAGGCATGGGACTCCCAACAATTGACCATGGTTTGAAAATCATGCCAGGCTCGGGTGTGTGCATGCCCAAAATCTTGAGAGGACAATGGAGGAGAAGGGATTGCAGCATGACCTCAGGGGATGACTTCTCACTTTCCCTTTTTCTATGACGAGCGCACATGCCCTATGACAAAAAAATCATTTTTGAGTAGTTTTTGCCATTTACTGTAATCCTTTGGATTTGTGAAGTGCCATGCCTCATGCGAAATGCCATGATGTGCAATCTTATGTAGCCCTCATTAGGTATGGACTGTTGTCCACTCTGTTTCACAGAGAAGTGACATGTTCAGCCTTTGCAAAGCTAGAAAGATAGAGGCAGGATCTGAACCCAGGCAGTCTGATTCCTGAGCCTGTGTACTTTACTACTGTCCATGCCATCATACTGTCCATGTCATCATATAGTCACATCAGTAGCATAACAACATGCAACTGGATTATTACCATATATGTGATTGTATGCAAGATGAAATGCATCTTAAAAGCATTTAACTCAGCTTCATGAAATCTGAAGTCCAGGCTATTTGCCTCAGTTCCCTTGGACCTTCATTGCCTTTCAATGATCAAAACAACCACATATTACTAATTGCAAATAACAAAATGTTTTGAAGACCTGACATAAAATTATATATACTTTCTTTTCCTTTTTTTTTCCAGAGTGTGGGTGCATTCGCCAGAGATAGCAGAGAAGGAGAGGGAGAACCACTCCTCCCTAACACACACATCTAGGGCATGATCATGCTTCAATCCCTTCTCCTTTTCTCTATCCTCTTGGGATTGGGGGCATGCATGCACATGCACTTGGTGTGTTTTTCAAGCTGTCGGGGTCAAGGTTTAAGCCATGGTTGGCAATGTGGAATCTAGCTCTTTCAACCATTAGGCTACGAAGCCAGTCTTATACTCTTACTTTTTATATTATATTGGGTCATTAGAAAAGTCATAGCATACATTTACATAGAAAAACAGAGAAAAAAAGGTGTCGTGACTTTTCTGCTGACTCAGTAGTTACAGGTTTTATTATTAATGATAAATTAAAGCACTGAATTAAAGTATTATACATGAAAAATATTTTAGGCAAAAAAGTCAAAGTTTTGGGCACTATCTGAAATATCTCTTTACATGTACTAGGGATACTCAAGAAGGTTTCTGTGCTACCATTGACCTGGAATACACATGTCATTGAGAGTCATGAAGCAGAGATGGCTGGATAACCAGGCACAAGCTCAGGTCATGCTTACTGAAAATAATTTTTTTAGGGGGGAGAAGTTTTTGCTATAGGGCACATGTGCTCGCCAGAAAGGCAGAGAGAGACAAAAAGTGAGAAATCACCCCCCAGGGGGGATGGGCACACTGCAATCCCTTCTTGTCCATTCTCCTCTTGGGATCTTGGGCACGCACGCGCACGTACTCAGTGTGAGGTTAAGCCACCGGGTCTGGAACTCGAATCGTGGTTGACTACATGGGAGTCCAGCGACATAGCCATTACGCTAACTGCTGGTCCAATGGAAATAATTTTTAAACCTGAACTGGTGAGATTCCTGAGTTCCATGTAAACATATTTGCATCATTATAGGTTATAGAAGTAGATCTGAAAATCTAAGAAAAATCACTATAAGAGGGGGCCTTCAAAAAGTTCATGAAAAATGCATATCATATATGGATTTTTAATTTTTTGCACTAAAATAAATTCATACCTTAATACCACTTTCCTGCAAACTTATCTGAAGTCCCTTTGCAGAAATGAAAGTAGAAGCAAGGCCAAATGAAAGTGTTAGTACAGTCAACACATAGCCACTTTTATTAACTTACAATGTGACTCTATTAGAAGGAAGATTCTTATTTGACTGTCACTAATGAGATTCAAATGACATGCAAGCCTTTTTCTGTATCAAAAAAGCAGCCTGACACTGACCATTGGCATGAAAATTAGGCAAAAGAATAGACCATGAGATCAATAAGCCTCTTGTATTCCAGCAAGAAAAGGATGCATCCCATATAAAAACGCACTGTCTAGGAAATAAAAGGCAACAGTTGGACTGGAAGAAAAAATATAATTTAAAGACGATGCAGTGGCAAAGCTGAAAATAGAGATGGAATTACCAGGTAAAGAGATGTCTCCACTTCAGTTAGATTTAAATTGTTTCTCCCTGAGGGATAGGAACTACCAATAGTAGTGTAGAATGCACTGGCATCTCATACAATCTCCATTCCTTACCTGATTTTAAAACAGGCTCAGTCTTTGAAGACCAGCATTTGCTTCTGTGCTCCTTAGATGACACCTTTCTCTGAGAGCAGTTCAGGCTCAAGTCACCAGCATGCCAGGAACTTGCTGGGGCCACATGTCTGTGCCATTGCTGT